AAACGCAAGCGCCAGCTGTAAAACGCGGAGAGAGCGTGAGCTCGCCCATAACCCGGCCGTCCGGTCCAGGGTGGGGGAGGGTGGTGAACACGCGAGAGTTGAAGCGCATCCAGCTATCACGACCCAGAAGCACGGCGTGCCCCATGGCGGCGTCTGGAACAACACAAGCCCAGACCGCCAAGGAAGCGGTAGCTCTATCTCCATGGAGAAAGTTAACGGTGAGACGAATCGACCGGTTGGTGACAAGGGCGGGTCCATCACCAAACCCACCCCAACGACGAGAGGGCGGAACACGAACGCTGCCAGCTGTCAGGGCTCCGGCAGCTATCATGGCGGTGACCACGGAGTCGGAAACGAAGGATGCAGGAGACCCAGAGCCCAGAAGCGCCACTCGCGCGAGTTGAGAAGTGGCTGTAAGTCCTCCATGCAGCAGGACCCGGGTGGTGTATGAGTCCGAGTCCATTAGGAGCGTGCCGCCGACCAGATCGGGCCCATGTTCGAGAAGAGGAGGCTGGTCTGCACAAGCCGAGGTCGATGCCACCAGATGAACGCCAGGAGCATGGTCCCCCGGAGCGTCCAAACGTAGACAAGCTGGGTCTTCGCCCGGGTCCTTCGTAGCTTTATCCCTTCAAGCGTTGCCATTGAGCTGTCGATGTTCCGTCTCGCGACCGTTCGCATTCTTCATCTCAATGATGGTGTGGGGCATTGATTCGGGATATTTCTACAACTCACCCTCCTTTTGGATGTTANATTAGGAGCGTGCCGCCGACCAGATCGGGCCCATGTTCGAGAAGAGGAGGCTGGTCTGCACAAGCCGAGGTCGATGCCACCAGATGAACGCCAGGAGCATGGTCCCCCGGAGCGTCCAAACGTAGACAAGCTGGGTCTTCGCCCGGGTCCTTCGTAGCTTTATCCCTTCAAGCGTTGCCATTGAGCTGTCGATGTTCCGTCTCGCGACCGTTCGCATTCTTCATCTCAATGATGGTGTGGGGCATTGATTCGGGATATTTCTACAACTCACCCTCCTTTTGGATGTTATGTGAAGAGTCATATCTTCGATTCATGATCATAAATCATCAGCTAAATCTTACTGTAGCTTTAGGATTTGAGCTCTGATTTTGAGTATAGAATCTGCACTTTTGACATTCAGGGTGGGCTAGTGTTAAGGAGTGTGGCTGCTAGCATGAATAGGGTATACCTTATTGTTGATAGGATGCGGGTCGGTCAGGAGGTATACCCTTCTGACCCCTACCCCCTTAGAATTGTCTACTCTGTGTACCCCCTGAGATGAAGTTGGATCCCCACTTCATCCCAGACCTTTGCTGATCGTCTCTCAGCAATAACAAGCAACTTTCCCATCTCAACGTGGTAGTGGACAAGCGTGTCAACGACAGCAGTTTCATCCATGTCTAGGAGCAAGCTACCGCCCACGGCATCACTCCTTGAAACGTTCGGGAGAGACACGGGGGGGTTGGGACCCGGAGGCACATCCGTGTCAAACGCGCTTTCTAGTAGACACCAGAGAAAATACTCTTGCGCGCGGAAGGACGCGCCCGCCTTCACCAGGAGGCCACAACGTGTTCTTCCTCCTCTCTGCTCTTCTTCTTTGCTGGCGATGTTGCCACCACCTCTACGTTCATGCGCTGTTCCTCCACCCCTTGCCTCAATCTGACGGGCGTGTTGCTGACATCAAGCTAGCCGCAAACAAACCCAACTGTCTGGCCGTACAGCCTCCCTGTTATTGTGTTGGTGGCGCGCCAACTCCAAGGCCTTTCGCTGGGCGCTGGCCTTCTCTTTGGCCGCGCGGACATGTTCTCGGCAGACTGCTGTGTGTACGTGCGGTGGTGCGTGTGATGTGTTACTTCGAACAAAGTTGCTAAATCGAAAAATCGTGAAACATTTTCCACAAACCGAGCCTCCCTCGGCTCTTAAATCTGTATTTTTTTTCCGTGTTGTAGTTTCTGGCGAGAGTGTCAGGAGCGCTCCTCAGACCCGCGGCTTAAACTCAAACTATGTTTCATTAATTCGGAAAATAATTGAGTCCGAAACTGTCAATTGAGACAACATATTTTTGGTCGGCACTTGGAAAATGGCCGATATGTTTATCGACGAGTAGACTTAACGGTGGTAGACGAAACGACAGAATGTTAAGGAGGACCCGATTCGCAGGGTATCCGTCGATTGACTTTTACCAGAATCGGTACACCTTCGCTCATGGCGTCAGCTGGATAGTGGTCCGAATCTCCTTGCGCGCACTATTTTCGTCCAGAATTGGACATTTATTTTCCCATGGACACAGTATGTGTCAGTCCTGAGAACACCTTCTGGAGTCGATCCTTCAAATAACCTTGTGACACTTCCATCGAATTACCCGTCCTGGTCACAAGAGGTTCCCAATTGAGGGTAAATTCTGTGGGTGGAGAGTGTTAAGGAGGACCCGATTCGCAGGGTATCCGTCGATTGACTCTTACCAGAATCGGTACACCTTCGCAAGAAGCAACATTGGTGTTCTAGTACTTTGCACGCATAATACGACAACAATATGTCTATGTATGGTGGGATCCTACACTATTTACATTCTATCCCACGGACGTACGCGGTTGCTTGAGACGTTTAGCTCCGGGAGTTTCTTTTGCGGCACAGATGGGCGTTTTAATATTGGAGACAAGTGACAAAAAAAAAAACACGACACATCCATCCTGCGAATATCATCCAGCTCTTGTTGTGGGTATGAATATTTGGTGCCTGCCAGATGCGTTCGAGACATGCATTCGACAATTGGATTATTCTGCGCTGCTTAGTTCTGCAAGCCGTAGTCCGCTGTGGGACTCGGCCTTGCAGCTGGGGGCTGCAGTCCCCTTCTAGGTTAGGGTTGGCGATTTTCCGGCCACAGCAGTGCAATGCTGTTGCTGCGGCAACCAACCATCGTTCGCGATGTGTCGCTTGATGTATGCATAGCACGCCAAGAGCACACCGACGTTTTTCAGAGGCTCTAGTCTACAGGAGGGGAGGTTTCCGACAGGAAGCGCGCGCGACACTCGCTGTAATAGGTGGTCACGATCCAGATGTTACAATAGCATCCGGCAGATCCAGGTACCGCACAGAAAAGGCTAGATAGAGAGTCTGAACTGAGAGAACCATGGAGGGGTAGCTCGATATGGAGATCACACAGCAGTTGCACCGCGAGAAAGCGTATGTATGACAATGCGCATGCATGAGACCAAAGAAAGTGCCGCGCCGAACAAGGCGAGGACAGGGTCTGCACGAAGGACTATGGGGTGGCTCCGTGTGGTGAAACCCACATAAAGGGACATGGAAGCAGATAGTCCTCGAAGAAGCGTATGCATGCATGTCAGGCAATGACTACCGATGACCTGTCACATAGACTACAGAAACCTCACAGCACCATTCATTTTGGAAGAGCAAAGAGTTTCTACCTGCGGATCCGCGCATCGAAAATATGCGCTTTCAAGTTCATCTGATTTTTGGAAGGACTCAAACAACCATTGTTGTTGTTGTTGTTGTTGTTTTTCTTCGCATTTAACTCGTGTCAGTTGCTAATCCCAAAATCTAGCAAAGACTTGGTCCGTCCGTGGTCACAAAAATGCAAGAGCCATCAGAAGATCTAAAGAACACACACACTATTCGCAAGGAAAGGGTACGCAAGCCCGAGGAGGTACACCTGCAATCCCTGCAGCACGTTTGCATGCTCACAACTGAACTACACGCCCACACACTACAAATCGACTACAGCAGCAGCATCACCCCCCTTGTCCCTCATTTAACCGAAATGAATGTTTGTCGACTACAGCGTACTGCTGTCTGAAGTGCTGTCTGCACAATGATAACACCATGGTGCATGGTACACAATCTCGGGGCATGCGGCTGCTGTCTGAAGTGCTGTCAGAATGAGCCAGTGGGCATACAATGAAGAAGAACGCCCAACCAAAGCCATAAGTGCAACTGACAATCACCCGAATCTATCCAGATCATCTGTGTTAGGCACAGCAGTGTAAACATCGACACTGACTAGGAATTGTTCCACATTGAAGGGGTCTTCCACGATGCGGGTACACAATTAAGGCACCTGGGTTATCCGCGCCATCTCTGCCGCGTCTCTCTACAAAACCAGTGACATCATCACTCACACCCAACACCGGTATTCAGGAAAAAAACGAGAATATAGTTGACAATACAAGAGATGTTTGTCCGTGCGCGACGGTTCGATTCCGTCCGCCTGCTCCGGTTCCGCTCCTCCGATGCCGCTGCTCCGGTGCCGCTGTGGCCAGTCCTAGCACGACCAAACTCGACCCGCTCCGCTTCGTACACGCTCTCGTTGCTGTCCTTCCCAGTCGGTTCCTCGCTTTCTCCCTCGTTGCACTTAGGGTTCTTGGTCTGAAGATTCTCGCGCCGAAGGGTCAACCAGCCCGATCAGCTCGTCACCACCTGTCCCCTCCTCCTTTGATGGCAAAACCAGGTTGCTGAGACAGTACAGCTCCCTCTAGCAAACCTAGGGCCGTGTACATAGTGCCCGTCCACCTTCCTGATTACGTCTGCCTCCGCGCACAAAGATGAGATGGGCATTGCTGCCTACACCGACGGCCTGGAGGCCCGCGCATCTGCACCTTTGTACCTGACGCACCAGTGCCGACCCAACTCCACCACTACGCACGCCTCGCGGCGGGTGCGCCGCAGCAAGAAGGTATCGGTCCCCTGAGGATGAGTCTAGCCCTGCTTGCTAGAAAGACCCCCCCCTCGCTATGGGTCATGCCTACGCAAAACCTTGCCGAGGCAGCGAGGGGAAGAGAGGGGGGTGTATGCAGATATTACTGTTTCGCTGAAAGTCGTGGCGACCAAATATATGCTGTTGCACTAATTCTCTCTGGGAACTAATTCTCAGCAGGGCAATAGATAAAGTTTCGGATTTGGATTCCTGCGATCAAATCACGTGTACTTTCGCCACCAACCATTTATTGTTCAAAACCCAAGTACAGTGAAAAGTATGTCCGCAGCAGTTCAGGGGTCGGATCCGACCCCCGGAATTGTTGGCGGGTCTGTTCTATTTTCAATATATAGGGCCAGATATTTCAGGGGTCGGATCCGACCCCCGAAATGCTTGGTGTTGTTGTTGACTTGTTGTTGACTTCACATTAAACCGTATGCCAGTTGCTAAATGCCAAAATCTAGCAAAGACTCTCGGCCCGTGGTCACGAAAGTGCTGGAGCCATCTGAGGATCTAAAGAACACGCACACGTAGCAAGAAAAAGGTGTACAAGAGCCCGAAGAGGTACTACTACACCT